GAGCAAGTCAATCAAGTCTTGGAGCAATATCTACAATGTATAATCAACTATCAAGAAGACGATTGGACTACATATCTATCATTGGCAGAATTTGCGTACAACAATTTGGTCCATGCCTCAATCCACTAAACACCTTTCTTTGCAAATTATAGATATCATCTAAAATTCGATTTGTTGAATAGATCCAAAGATGAAAATCTAGTAGCTAAAGATTTTGGTAAGCATCTAGTGGAGATTCAGACCACCTTGAAGCTTCAGTTATAAGTAGCTCAAGACTCCTACAAAGCTTTTGCAGACAAATTTTGGAAAGATTCTTCTACTTTCCAAATTGGAGATAAGTTTTGGCTTTTGTGACGAAACATCAAGACCACTCGACCTTATAAGAAGCTAGATTATATGAGATTGAAACCATTCAGCATTCAAGAGTAAATCAATCCGATCGCCTATCTGTTGAAACTATCCACATCCATGAAGGTACATCCAGTCTTTCATGTTTCTCTTCTAGAAACTTATAGTGAATCAACTTTACTAGGACGGATACAGCCACCATGTGTTGAAATTGAGGACCATATGGAATATTAGATGGAATAAGTCTTTGATTTGCGACGAAGATGGAAGAGGTTGGAATATTTAATCCATTTCCATAGCTATGATGTAAATGAGCAATCTTGAGAACCAGCACAAAATATAACAAATGCGCTGCAAAAGATACAGGATTTTCATCGAGGATATCCTGATAAATAAAAAGCTGGCCACTAATGAAGCGTAAAGATGAAGCCTTCTTTGGAAAAATGTATATAAATGGAATTCATATCTTATCGAAATATAACTTGTTACGTTTTGCTTTCTTATAGTATCAAGATATCTAATTTTAGGATGTATTTAGATATGGCTAGTAAGAATGTGGATACTGTACTAGTGGTGCCATCTCAACTGAGTAGTTCACAGCATCGACTTCAAGATGAAGAATCAAAAGAGCTAAGAAGACGTCGAAGAATACCAAGTAGCAGGTCACTCGTGATTGTCTTTGAAGTTGAGCCAACTCATGCAGGTAGTGGCGAAACGATATTTTCAAGCCGTTTCTATAATAAAGACACAGAAGTTCAGGCATGGTCTCAAGTGGAAGGCATTGGTTATTATAAGGATCCATGAATCATCTACCTTATGAGTGACAGTTAGAATATATTGCAAAGACTATGCGCCAAATCTTTGATTTTCTACATTTCTGAGCATACATCTCATATGGCTTCTCGGAGACCTCGAAGCTAGAAGAAGGGGTGATTTCAAGGACACACTTATCAAAATCTTCTAAAACATTCTAGAAGGTTCCTAGAACCCTCTAGAATCTTCCAAAACCTTCTAGCATCTTCCAAATAGATTGAAGTTGTTTGAGAGCCTTCCTAGTTGGTAGAAGTTGTTGGAGAAGCTTTCTAGTTGGTAGAAGTTGTTGGAGAAGCTTCCTAGTTGGTAGAAGTTGTTGCAAAAGCTTCCTAAATAGGAATATATATTGGAGTCGAGGCTGAAGAGTTCTTTAGTCTCAACAACACTATAAGCTAAGTTTTTCCACCTTTAATTGCATTTACTAGTCAAGTGGGTTAACTTTATTCACATGAGAATAAATGATATATGATTAACTTACTTATAGGTTCATTTCATTAAACTTCCTCCAAAATAGCTCCTCTTACCCCACACAAATTAACTAGGCTCTAAATAATGGATTTTTACTTCATATCAATTATCAACATGTAATTCTAGTAACTCAGTCCTCTTTCTCAACAAAATCAGCACCTTTAGACATTTTAATTCTCAATTTTACATGCATGATTCATTACAATATCTCAAGAGCTTTCCATAGACATAAATTTCATTCAAAACAGACAAGAAATACAAAAGTTGTGAAGGTGTAAAGTTTAATGTTTATTCATCCAATTATTTGCGGTAGTCCATCCATAAAACCCTAAGTTCATCCCTAAACCCTAAGTTCATCTTTCATTCATCCATATTTTTCATCCAAAGTTTCATCCAATTCATTAATCTTCATTCATTCTAAAACATTCATCCATTCAAAGTTCATTCAATTATCATCCAAAATATTCATTCATCCCATCACAAGTGGACTTATCATCCAACCAAACATTCATCCATTCGTCCAACCATTAATTCATCCAAATTACATCCAAAAAAACTAAGGAAAATTTGAAGTTGCCAACTTCCAAAGATGGCAGCAACCCCCTTGCACTAATTTCACCACCCCATCCTTGTCAAGGACTTACTTGCAGCAAATCTTAGCATTTTAGAAACTAGACTTAAAAGCGCCTCTTTTACAACAAATTTCAATGCAAAACAATAAGTGAGCTAAAAGGAAACTTGCCGCAAAGTTGGTTGACTTTCTCGGCCTAGTTAGCACACCCCTGGCCACAAAAACCTTTGCCCTTGCTTCGTTATAATTTTTTTGCAAACGTGTCTTAACTTTCCAAAAATTAGACTTCAAGTCGCATCACTTCCAATAAATGGTTCTTGAAAAGCTTATGTGAGCTCAAAGATATGGCACCTCAAAGTTGACTGAGTTGGCTGAGTGCTATAGAAACATCATGGCCGACTCCTCTTTATTCAATCCACCATAACTTTTTTTTTTTTTTCACTCAATCCAAACGTGCAAGCAATCCTTGGAATACTGACAACAATATCCATTCACCACAAAAATTTCAGCTCCAAACACACCGTGGTCCGCCCGCAATCGCCCATCACAATCAATCCTTCAAATCTTGCCGGCAGTAGTTCCCCCCTCTACTAATCACATCATAACTTCTTTTTCCTTGATCCAAATCCAGCGTGCTTAGTGTTCTTAGAAAGCTGACAACAAGATCTAACTACCTCGAAAATCTCACGTTCTATCTCTAAGTATCTAACTCACAAAACACGGATAACTAAAGCTCAAAATAAAAAGATAAGATTAGGAAAAATTGGGCATGGCTTCGCCCACACAAAAGGAAAAGAGAGAGAGAGTTCTTTGGCCGCCCAACCCTCTTATAGAAGTAGTTGAAGCCCTAAGAGTGGCGGCCACATCCCCACCATTGAGATCCCCTCAAACCCTAATAAGATCTATGGCTCACAAGCCTCCAAAGGCCCAAATTCGAATTTAGGGCTGACCGCCCCTAATAACTATCCAAAAGTAATTTTTTTGATAAAAATGACACCAGGTTTGCATTCAAAGTACATTTTTATCCCAAGATTGACTTCTTGTTAGCTCAATTTCATGCACAAATACATTACTTATGCCATTTTTAAGGCTAATGGCAATTTTGTTAGTTAACTTAGTATCATGCCTATTCCTATTACTTTAAGAATACGTTCCTTCTAATTCCACCTATTAATTAAGTTCTTACTCTAACTTACATGTGAGATACAATTTTTGGCTCACAAACACATGTCTTGGAGCTCTAACTCACTTTTCTGGTGTTGTTCTTGTACATTGGCCCATCAATGCTCATGGTGTAATAAACTAATTAATCTTTTTTCTCTCATGAGCGGATAAAAATTGGTATTAATCACAAAACTAATTTTTAGGTTTCCTTCAAACACCTCTCATTTCAATGTGTTAAAAATACATGAGAAGTTGGAGATTTTTGTGGTCCTTGGTGGTGATGCTAATTCTAATTTTTTGGCCTCGAGTTTTTACTTAATAAATCTTAATCCAATTTTTGGGCGTTAAATTGCTTCTAAAAGGGGAAATACCCTTGTTGAGGCCTATTTGGCCTATTTAGCTACAATTATTGGCTTTACCTATACTAATTGTTCAATTTTAGCACTAGTTAATACTAATTAATGGATTTTATTTAAAAAATGACATTGTGAGCCGTTTTTTGGGCTCACATAGCAATCACCATCCGTGTCAGTACACGGTGGTTCTTCAACGGTGGAGAAGGAGACCACGGAGTTTCATGATTGGCCACTGGATTTGGGGCCACATCTTACCAGTTTTGAGGTACGGAGGGTACTGGCATTCATACATTTGTGTCGTAGTTGCTTTGCCTTTAGCCTTAATGATTTGGAGGGCAACAAAGGCAAACCGATCCACATTTGGTCTTAAGAATGCCCCTGTCGAGTTTCAGAGGGTGATGGATCGGGTGTTGACCGGTCTACTGTTGCTCGGTGCTATATTGATGATGTTACCATCTTTAATAGTAGCCTTTAACTGCACGTGAAGCATCTTCAGGCGGTGTTTGAGAAGTTACGTCAGTGGGGATTGCGCTTGCACCATGGCAAGTGCAAATTCTTCTATGACCGGTTGCCTTACTTGGGACATATGATTGTTTTTAGGGGGACTTGGCATGGAACAGGCGAAGGTAGATGTGTTGTAGAAGATTCCGGCCTCAACCGACATGTCACAACTTTGAGCTTTTATTGGCTTGACGAATTACCATCGCCAGTTTGTCAAGAACTTTAGCTTGATTGCCAAGCTTTTGAATATTCCCACGGAGAAGGATTAACCATGGACTTGGGGAGGGGAGCAGCAGCAAGCATTTGCTACTTTAAAGTTGCAACTCGGTTCAGCGTCTGTGTTGCGGCGTCCAAATGTCATGCAACCTTTCCAACTGCACACAGATTGAAGAGCCATAGGATTGGGAGCAGTCTTGGCAAATGAGCACACATGAGTGCAGGCTTTTTAGCAGGCTAGGGCTAGGCCAAGAGATGTGGTTGTAAAATTGTGCAAGTCACGGCAAGCGTACTTGTGCAATCTCGGCAATGTAAAAGCATGGGCTGAATTGCCAACTTGCAAGGCAATTGAGGTGTCAAATGGCAGGCACGAGTCACATGAATTAAGCTCGTGTGGAAAAGCTGGACTTTCTGCCATTCGTGTAAAGGGAATCTCGCGATCACTGGAAGGAAATTTTTTGGCAGCCATAATGAGGCCTCCGACAAAATGCAATCCTCACTTGAACTCGTATTAGTGTAGTAAAATGTTCCGAAGGTGATTGACTGGATATCTGCACTTTGGATGAAGGTAACTACATCATATTCCACTGAATGGGCATTACATTGGCAAGACAGCAACCGATGCAAAAATTCTAGATTACACCAAGAGCTTCGCATATATGTACAAAAGCAACAAAATCTGTTGACAAGCGACCGGTGATTCCAAACAGTTCCAATAATTCCTCCTAACAGTACATGCTATGTGGCCAAGGCACATCCACATCTGGTACACCAGAGAACAAGGGTATGTGCAGCAGCTTCTCAAGCTGCTGAACGCTAAGTTGAACTCGAGCACTCAGGATTTCTTCATCAGGTATTAAACCAACCAAATCCTTCAAGTTATCCATCTCTGGAGGCTCATACATCCTTCGCTTCTTTACAAATAGCAGACCTTCATCTTCACCACGTGGACGTGCATGAATTGCCAGTGCCTCAGAAGTTCCCATTTTGTCGTTGTCGGAATCCTGCAGAAGTTCCTTAATGTACCCAACAGCACTAGCCCTCGACTCAAAAGTAAACCAATATATTGTTGATGCATCCATCCAGTATAAGGACCAAAAATCATCAAGGTCGGTAAGAACAGCAAAAGGTCTGAACTGCTGCGCAAAAACATTAGCCATCACAAGCCTAATCGTAGTCTGAATAATAGCCTTGTCACGACCACCTCGAAGATCTTTCTTCAGCTCGAAGATACACTTCAACCCACGGCGTGGATCAGACTTGAGTACTATCCGATGTACAAAAGCCACATCTGTGGTGCCTTTAAAATTCCAACCACCAAGAAAACCAGATAGAAGGGTTGGATAGTTATTTGCAGCATCTATCAGCATCCACTTCCGCCCACTTGCTATCTTGTTTAAGTGAGGAATGTACCTATCAGCCTGTGACCTCTCCTGCCTATCGTCCCAACCGAATGCAGGCAGATCACTCAAGTGCTCGGGATTAGGATCAATCTCATTAAACATCATTTTCAAGCCTACCTGCCGTTCAAGAGTACCCCAAATATACTGGCTCACAGACGATAACTGAACTGATTTCTTCGACTTGGATTTCGCCTTCTGCTCAGCCAGGTATTCTGTCAACTCCTGCAAGAGCTTTTCAGGAACACCTAAAGACAGTCCTGCACAGAAGAGCACAGAAGGGGATCACACACGATGGTCACAAAATTCAATCAAACAACCAAGAAAACAGGTTTAGGGTTTAGGCCATGGCACTTCTCGCACTGCAAAAATAATATGCCAAACTTTTTACACAAATCACATCAACGTTGTCTCGTGCCAAGTCATAATCACTCCGGTTAGGAGACTACATATTTGGCACGATTTCAAACCCCCCGAATACAGCCACGAACCATCCCTACAAGTAAGCATCAGTCGTCCATGCCAAAACTGCAGCAGAATTCGCCCATGGAACAGAGCGCCCATGGAACGGCACATTGGGACCAAATCACCAAGTAAACGTTTCAAAGCCCAAAGTGCAAAACAATCTTGAAAAAGCAAAACAGAAAAATTACTCTGTACAGCATTTCCTCCCAAAACTTGAAAGAAGGAAACAGCAACGAAGTTCTTAGGAAGACGCTTCATAGAAAACAACATTCGACCGTACTGTCTGGTTAACAGTAGCCGTAGCCAATAATGAAAATTAATCCTTCAAAATCCTAAGCGCACGACGCACCTGGGATACAGCCAAGAAAAAGACCTGCTAACATTTCACTCCCAGCTGTGGATTAAACGAACCCTAATTATCAAGAATCCAGAGAAGCCTACAATATCTATCAATCGCACCACAAGAATTGCTCTAAAGTGGCAACAACGAGAACCACAAAATAACGCACAGATTGAAAGCACAAGTGAGACATATAAAAATTCATTAAAAATTAAAAAAATTAAAAAAAAAACTCGGAGCCAGGCGAAAGCACAGATTAAACGCTAAACCCTAAACTAAACCCTACACCGGTCATGAAGACATCATAGAGTGAATTTAACTCATGAATGGCCATCACGAATCATACAAGAAGATGCCTACAGACATCAGACAAGAGTGTTAAGCAACAAATATGCATACGTCCGCACATTCTGGGCATCGAACCAAATTGTGCATTCTCACTCACTCGAATACAACCTGATAAGACCGTTAGACAAACTAGTGATGCTTACCGCAGAGCTTGGCGGCAGCTCCGCAAACTAGTGAGCCGCGTCGTTCCCAAATAACAAACCATTGCGTTAACAGGCCTGCTTATTCTATCTACGAAGGCAAGTAGCCCTAAACCCTATACCGATTTTGATAAGGAAATCAATTGATCAGTTCGCCAGAAAAGCATGTTATCACAAGTATAAGTAAGCATACCCTAAGCAACAAGTAAGCATACCAGAGCACACAAGATTCATCTCACAGATCATGGATCCAGATTCTCTCTAAGCTAACATACCTGCCGATGCCGGCGCTTCTTGCACAGACCGAACACTGCAAATTTCTTGCCGGAGGCTGACTATCTGTTGATCGCGGCTACTTATTTCATGCCGGATACTGCTTATTTCTTGCCGTAGGAACTGCAGCTTCGCTTCAAGCAGCTTTCTCACCTCTGTTCCCGAAGCAATGACAATCTCCTTTTCCACCCCTCTTATCTCCTCTCTCAGCCCTCTTATCTCCTCTTCCTTCGCTCTTATCTCCTCTCTCAGCCCTCTTATCTCCTCTTCCTTCGCTCTTATCTCCTCTCTCAGGTCTCTTACCTCCTGTCCCTTCGCCCTTATCTGGTCTTGCACCTTATCTTCTAGCTCCTCCTGCCCACTCTTTTGGCGATAATCTTGGTCCATCTGAAGAAGGGGGGACCCAACAGTAAATGCTGCTTAATATCTCAGCAAAAACATTGCTGTAAACCTAAGCTTAAACCACAGCAGAACCCCGATCTAAAATCCACATTTGAATCTAATTTGTGCATAATAATGAACTCCAAACATTTCATGAACTTACCTCATCAGGAGCCATGGCCTCCATAACTTGAAATCGCTGGGAAGGTGGAAAATGAGGGCGTGCTAACTCCTGCAGAAAAATGCCAAGAAAAGGGAACAATGAGAGGGGGGTGGGTAAGAGCAAGAGAAGAGAAGGACGCGAAACAGAGACAGAGAGGAGGGCTACATGAAGGAGGGACGGGGACAGGAGAAGAAGAGTGATCGAAGCAGAGAAATGAGGAAAGATGGGGGCAACGGATGTGGCATCGAAAGGAGGGCAGGAGGAGGGGTGGGAAGCAGGCAGGGGAGAGGGAGAGGGCAGAGAGAAGGCCGCGATGATGTAGAAGGAGACTGACTGAGGACGCAGAGAGAGATGGCCAAGCACAGCAGAGACAGGCAATTCATAAAATCCTAGTTCTACACACCCCCAACAGAGCTACCCCGAAAAAAAACGAGCAGTGCAAATGCCGCCATCACCAGTTCACGACTCTCAGCAGGCAGCCTGCCTCGTCATCCCTTGCTCCAGTCAGCATTGAGTGCTTCCTCCCTACCGTCGGAACTAATCTCACGGGAACCCATGATCACAGCCAGTGGATCTCTGGAAATTGGCTGAATTTTTATATTTGTTTTTCTCAAATACTTGCTGAGTGAATTTGAGAGCCTAAATTAAACTAACCATATAGACTGAAAGTGGGCACTTGTACCATGGTGCATGCCAGATATACTGATCATTTGATGCATGGATGAAAAACATACAACATAAAAAGACAATCTTTTCAAATAGAAATTAAATGCTAATTTTGAAGTTCAAGAAGTACTCAATTCAAACATTTCCTAAGAAAGGCACTTTCATCTTCTTATCATTTGGAGTGTTTTCATGACATGGTGTGGTGATTGGGCTTGATATTCAAAACGTGGTATAAATATGGTAAATGAAAATATAATAAGTTTGTGGTGAATGGAAGTTTTTAATCACACATATATCATCAATTTGATGTCACTTATTACATGACTATAAAAAATTTCAATCCAAGCCAATGCAAGTTAATTATAAGAACAATGCAAAAAACTTAAGAGAAGAAAATTTTGATTTTTTAAAATATATCAAGAAAATGGTTTAAGTTTGAATTCAAGATTGTGATCTCAAGGATGTTGTTCCTTAGGATTAGTACATGGAACTATTTCTTACTTTGGGACTTCTTTGTTATGAGTTCACCATCTTTAAATTATAAAATTAGAGAATTGAAGTGGCTTGTTTGGAAGTTGAATAAGTGATAGTTCTTTACAAGAAGTCTTTGGTTTAGGATTTAGGGTTAGGGTTAGGGTTTTGGGAATACAACGGCGTCCTTTAGGTTTTCAAAGTTGTTGAATTGCATTCTTAAAGGGACCTACTCCTCATGTTAGGTTTAAAAGTTTGGAGATAGAGTTATATGAGTGTGTTATTGGATTTTTGACTTTTTATTTTTAAGTTTTGAAGTTACCCACCCTTCTATTTTCAATGATTGCGAATTCATTGGTGTGGTCAGATTCCGATACAATGTCATAGATTTTGAACTAGGGTTATTGACTTTTTAGAGACTGTGTGTTGGCAGGTGATGTTAGCTTTTTTGACGTTTTTTGTGAACTATACTTATTTCACAATGTAGTGCATTATTTGAGCATCGCAGATTCATCTTGTGGTCCTCAAACCGACACCGTATGGATGAGTTATGAGTGGATGAAGTTCTGCAGTTATGAGTTCATTGCAAAACTTCATCCATTCATAACTTTTGCAAACGGTGTCGGATTAAAGAGCGCAATAGCATTCTAGAATGCTTTTATTGTACTCTAGAGCGTGCAATAGAGGTTAATTGAAGTGACTCTATGGATTTAGTTTTTACAGTTTTGAAGATTCATTTAGAAGTTTATAACTTAGCATTCAAATTTGTCAAACTTTTGCAATGTAGAACTTTACTCAAACTTTGTCCAAATTGGGAATTCAATAGTATTTTGTAGAGCTGATTAGATACAGTGATTTAATATATGTTAATAACAGCTAAATCCTAATAACTACATGTTGTCATCAATGACGCCCGAATTGTTGGATGAAATAGCGTGCTACACCAACACGGTCTTCGTATATACCATCTTTCTTCCACTATGTGCCTCCCCTCACTTTCTTAAGCATGAGTAGATATATATCCACATTTTTGAAAAAATCCATAATTAAAGCACGGATTTCTTCTCTATCTTACTCCCAACTATCATATTGAAACTATACGTCTTCTCCTAAAGCTTTTCAGCATGCTTTAGCGCTCCTTCAATTCCTTTCCTCTCATAATTGGCTTTCCATATATTTGCCACTCCATCCCATTGTTTGACAAACAAAAGTCAAAGCACTTCTAACCCAAATAGATGGTGCATAATGATCATCTCCTTGAATCTCTTGTTAGAATGCTTCCAATTTTAACTTGAAATCCTTCAAAAAAATATCACTAGAAATATCTTTAGTATCAAAAGGGCCTCCTAATGCAATTTTGATGCCTTAAAGGTTTAGAATGTCTAAACTACAACAAAGTCAATATCCACCAACTACTTTCTTTGTATGAATAGTCATCTCAATTTTAACCCCCTGAAGATGATCATTACGTATGTTGTTTGGTAATGCTTCCTAAGTTGATAATAACTATTGCATTTGTATGTGTCTAAGATGAACTGGATGCATAGTTGCAAGCATGTCATCAAGATTTCGTTTTTGTATCAGAGACATAATTTCATGGCATAACTCTTGATAGAATTTGAATTTAACCATATGTTCACCAATCTTTGGTCTAATACTCAATGATTCATATCCTTCCACATTGCACATCTCATGTACGCATCCTTCTCTATGTTGTAAAGCAAGATATTGAATATGGCTAAATTTGAATGATAGGATGCCATTGCTTGTCAATAGAATCCCATAATCAAATATATTTATTTCTCGAGACAAGTTTAAGATTTAGGGTAACAAAGATATTCCTAAAATTTTGACATATTTTTTTTATAATTTTTAAGTAATCTACCCTTTTATTTTTGAATATTGTGGTTCCAATGAAGAAATAATCTTCTATTATAGTATTACCATTTGAAAGATATAGAACATTGGACTTTTTGAATTACAGTTGAATTTTATGATTTTAAAAGAATTTCTATATTTAGAAGTAATTTTCTTCCTTATTTGTTGATATTATAAATCTAATGATGTATTTAGTTTTTTCTAATAATGGCTTATTTTGGAGATAAATATATTTTAAAATAAAATTTAGTATTTCTATATTGATTAATTGGCTTAGAGTTTCCAAATTAATAGGTTAGCTATCCCTTCGAGATTAGGATATTGTCAATCCAATGGTGAAATAATCCACCATAATACATTTTAGGATTTATGGTTTAGGATTTCATAGTTACAAGGGTGTCCTCAAAGTTTTGATTTTTTTTTTTTTTATAATTTTTGAGGTAACCTATCTATCCATTTTCAACTATTGTGGTTGCAATGGTAAAATAATCTTAAATCCTAAACCCTAAATCCTACAATTTTATTCTTTATACTTCTAAATTATAAATAGTATTACTTACTCTTTCATTACTCGTAGTTCCCGCTCATTATTTTTTCCATTAATAATAGTTTTGAGTTTCCCGCTCATTCATTATAGGCTCTATAAATATCCACCACCCCAATTTGGCGATGGAATTTCCCACCAACAAGGCAAGGGCTACTTTAGATTGAGGTTTTTCTTGCATTGTCATCAATTTTTGGTCCTACATCCTTCAATTTCAAATTTTGTACCTTCAACAGTATCTGACCGTGTATGTGTCCCTCTAAGTAGTTGACTATGTGGTGTAGACTACCTTGTGTCTCTTCCATGCATCATAATATTTTCTTTGGTGTAGTAGCAATCTCTGGAACATAATGGTAGATTTCTTGGGTACACTTTAAGTAAGGTCACTAACGGTAATCGATCAATCTATAGCTTTCTATAGTAGTGGCGGCAAAAGAAAGTCACTTGTTGTGGAGTGCTTTGCATTGCAGCAGGCAAGAGACATATTGTGTATAAACATTGGTTGCATTACTCCTGTCGTACATTGCTTACAATTGTTGGGACGATTATTCTTCCTCTATCTCTGTCGACGACCTTATCGTTGTCGTATGGTGTGATTTACTATTTGGAAATATACCAGATATCTAGCTGTAGAGAGTTTAGATTTCACTTGTATGTTATGTCTTAGCTTCCAAAAAAAATCCTCTTTGCTTTGTATAAAAACTCAAAATATATTGAAATCCTTCAAAACATTTTTCTTCCTGAAAGGGGTTACTTTTTCCAAACTTTAGAAATTCATAACTCTTGATCTAACCATTAAATTTGTTTCAAATTTATAGGATAGGTAGAATAAATTCTTAACTTCTACCACAAAAAAAACTACTTGTAAATTCACTTCCGAGCTTCTAGCATCTTTGAAACCCTAGCAGACATTCTAAATCCTAATTTATAAGCACCTGAACACTATTTCCTTAATACCTTAAGAACCCAATACCCAAATTTCATAAAACTTATGCAAAAAGTTTATTGACAGGACTTTACACATTTTCTAAAATTTTTAGCCAAAACCTTATCAAATTGCTCAAGATATAGCTCAAGAGACAACTACTAGTAAATTTGTTTACTTACTACCCTTGGATTGCATGCACTGACTTCATAATCCAATAACTCCTTCATTTTAACTTGGAATCCAGTAAACAGTAAATAAAAAGTGTAGCCGCAAAAGTGTTCTCTTTGGTCGCGGTCACCTATCCTCAATTGCTACCTGTATGCATGCGCAACGCTCCAAAGAGTGACAATAGATCCAAAACTAACACCTTAACTTTGAACACCCATAACTTCTTCATAAAATCTCCAAATGACACAAAACTTTTACCAAAACCATAGCCAAAATCGTAAACCTTTTGACCTTAACCTTTAAAACTCGAATGGTTTTGAGAAACTAACCTTAATCCCTAATATGGCCTCGGGCAGCCTCCTCAAAGCCCATTGGTCATGATTTTTGACCAATAGGAATGGAGATTTATATCATCTATCTCCATTCATCCATATTTATGCCCTAAATACTCCCTTTACTACCAAAAATCCTCTCAAACTCTTTTTCTTATAAGTTTTTCACAATAAGTCCTTTAAACACCAAATAAAAGAACAAAAATAAAACTTCAAAGGTCATCAATGTCTAATAAAGATGCCTCTAAATGAGTAAAGTTTTTTACTAAAAATATCAACTTCAAAAACCATTGTCAAAAAAAATTAATGTTATAAAAATTCTAATAGTAGTCTTTTTAAACAACCACTTTTTGAAGTAATAATCTAACTACATTCTATAACCAATTAAAATATACTAGTATGGCTTTCACCATGTTATTTGACAAATTATACAATAAATTTATAAACACATTAT